GTAATGATGAAATTTAATAAAAATTGTATGTATATAAATAAAATGATGTATCGTTTAAATTAAAAATACAATTATTATCCTAATTCATCCTGCATATAAAAATAAGCCTACTTTCAATTTTTTACGAATCATCTTAGAAGCTAAAAGATGATTTGTGAAAAAGTCAAAATAGGCCTTATTTGGATAGTAATTTTATTTTTGAACAATTTTTTTTAAGAAAATACTAGTAAAAAAAATTTGAACAAATAATCTTTAAATTGGTAGAACTCAATTATAATTTAATTTTCTAATAATAAAATAAAATAATAATAATCAAATAAAATATGGTTTTGTTTCACACACACACACAAACACACACACACACACACAGATATATACATATAAATAACCACACAATTTTTACAAATCATCTACAGCTTCTAAAATGATTTGTAATAAATTGAAAATAGGCTTATTTATATGTGGGATGAATTAGGATATTAATTGTATATTTAATAAAATAAATTGAAAGGTTTCTAGAAAATTTTAGTAAATAAATTGAAAAAGCTAACATGGGTTATTGACTGCCAACAATTCAATAAATTTGGTAGAATTCATACAATGTTGTGTGTATATAATTATATATGGTGGCGTATATCAGCACCTCAGAGTAATATTAAAGGGCGCTATATAAATTCTCTAATATAAATAATAATAGTATAGTATTGCTATAGATTGATATATACACAGTTAGTGCATATTTGTCTATTTATCTGTATTTTTTATATTTGTGAGTGGTGTGTGTGTGTGTGTGTGTGTGCTTCAGACAACTTAAATGGCAACAAATTATAAATAATCATAAAAAATTATGAGTATTATTATTTCATTTTTTTATATTTTATGAATCAAACAAAATCTTACCTCTCAGAATTTAAAACATTTTATTTTACAGTCATCCACTTGTTTAGATTCTACTTTAGTTTAATTAATTTAACTTAAATTATAATTTAACCTAAATTAAATTAATTTAAGTTAAGTTAATTAAATTAAATTAAGTTAAATTAAATTTAACTTAAATTATTTAAGTTTGTTAAAGTTAGTTAAACATATATAATTGTTTAAAAGTACAAATAATAATGGACCACATATAAAACCATGTAATATATTTATTTATATTTTTTTGATATTATTACGATATTGATATTAAATACATTCCCTTCAAAACATTTTATTTTACAGTTTACATTACAGTATTACACACAGTCATCCACTTGTTTAGATTCTACTTTAGTTTAAGTTTAAAATTAGTTAAACATATATAATTTTATAAAAGTACAAATAATAATGGACCACAATTATGTAATATATTTATTTATATTATATTTTTATATCTATTTATATATAATTATATTTTTTATTATATTGACACTGTTACTCACTGATTTGTTGATGTATATTATAATAATATATTTTTACAAATATTATTTTATTAAATTAAAATTAAATATATTGCAGTATTTTGTTTTTGCACATCAGCAAATGATTATAACATTAACAATAATACTCAAAAAAATTTAAATGAAAATTAGTAATTAATCAAAAAACCTTTTGAAAATTATTTATATTTTTTATTCAATAATTTACATATGTTGTCCACTAAATTAGATCAAATATCAGACGTTTTATTAAATAAAATAACTAAAAAGATTTCAGACCATCAGTGAGACAGACAACAAACCGATACAAAACAACAAGCTAAATTGAAAATTAGTTTTCGCATATATGTTATTATACTATTATAGTATATAAAAAATATATAATAAACTTCAAATAAAATAATTTATAAAGACGAATTTTTAATTAAAATCGAACAGTTGGTTTAAAAATATAAAATGAATTTATAAATAAATAAAGAACGGACAAACAATATTGCAATAGCGATCGCACGCACGCACACACCCACAGGCACGCACGCACACACAAGCACGCTCGCACATACACACAACGACATGAGAATATTTCGCTACTTCAAGTTACTCACATACACATGCACGCAGTGTTGCATATTTCATGTCGTGTTTGATTATTCAAGCAGTGCTGTGCTCGTTCTTTTTATGAAGTGTAATTTGTGTATATATTATATATATATAATATCGAAAGCGAGATATATAAATAAATATATATATATATATATATATATATATAAGTATTGTATAAATTCTACCGAATTGTTGGCATTAATCAATCTAAAGTTTACCTTTTCAACTAGTTTTTTTGCCGCTCGAGGCAAGATCCCAGTTTGCCACCCTAACTAAAAAGTATCAATATATTAAAAAAATACCCTTAAGTAAAACTAAGAGTGACGAACAAAATCGTATATTTGCAAAACATTAAATCCAAACAGTACAAACACAAAAAGCAAGCAAAATACATTTAAAAAAATGGGCATATTTAAACAAGACTTAGTGAAAGAAGTTTACTTTCATACTTTTTTCAGATGCCAAAGTCTTCAGTAATTCAGTAAAATTTAATTTTTAGCACTATCACTTTCAATGGAAACTAAAGAAAAATCCTTTTAACGATTTTGTGACATAGTAGATCATAAGTATTCTTTAAGTAATTTCAGTTTTGAAAAACTACGATCTCCATATGCAACTGATACTAGCTGTGTTAACAGAATTCAAAGTAATAAAAACATTTGGAGTGAAATTAATGTTTCTTAAAATAAACTCTAGTACTTTTAATGATGACGCGTTTGATTCAATTAATTCAGACAATGCAAGCAATTTATCTAATAATTCCATGAAGTACTTGTGCTTGATATTTTTTAAAGATTTAAACATTTTTCTCTAAGACTTTCGTTTGAAATATCTTTTTTAACATTTGCAATATTGTACAGGAGTTGAAAAGCATCACAGTGTTCATTAAACCGGTTAAAACCTTCTTCAATAAAATTTATAACACTATCCAAAATGCAATTAAAACATTCTATTTTAAATCTATCTTTTGGATTTATAATGGGTTAGCTTGAGTCTCATAAGAAAACATTTATTTTTTAAACCTTGGTCTAATAGAAACTTCAAATGCAAATGATGACTCAAATCTAATTCAGCTGCAATTAATTCTGCATCAGAAAAAACTTTTTCAAAACCTTCATCTAAGCAAAATAACTCTAAGAAGTTAAGAGTTTTGTTCAAAATTTGTTTGACTTCAGAAATGTCAATTTCAATATTTTGAATAACTTTGCTTCCTTGGTTCAAAATATTGAACCATATCACAGTACAGCAAAAATTTAAAGTTTTTCATCTTTTAAATTAATACCTCTGTTTCATGACGTGAAGATGGATCATAAAAAATAAGGTCCTGGCTGATTTCAAAAGGAGCATCAAAGATTTCTCCAGCACAGTATCGTAAAGGTCGCACAGCTTCAATCCTGCTTTCCCATCTTGTTGCACTCAAAGGTTTTGGAAAGATTTTTTTTTCAAGATGATTTTTCAAACTGCCCATCTACGAAATGATCCACTAAGAAAGTTATAAATGGCTTGCACCATTCCAAAATAAGCCACAGCTTCTCAAGATGATTTCCCAGCATCATTAACGATCAAATTTAATGAATGAGCATTACATGGTACAAAAAAGGCTATGTTGTTCTTGAAATCTATAAATAAAATTAAAAATTTGTTACGATACATGAACATCTTTGTAAAAGCATTTGTCTTTATTAATGTACATGGCCAAAAATTAATGTTAAGTATACTATAGAAAAAAAGCTAAAACAAACTTTCATCTTTTGATTGTTAAAATTAAATTTTATTAGCTATTTTGAAACCAGCTTTATCTTGAGCGGATTGCAACTGGCAAATATAATCCCTTTTCATAACTCTAATCAAATCATCAAATACACTGACGATACCTACATTATCATCCCATCATCTAACTCAAACACCATCCAATCGGTCACTTAATCTCAATAAATCATTCGAACTCATCATTCACAATAGCCATAAAAAAAATAACATTACCTCCAGAGCACCCATCAATTGCTCGCACCAATCAATTAAAAATGTTAGGCATCACATACACAACCTCAAACATACTAGCACTCAATAAAACTTTATCATTTACACAATCTAGTTTTTACTTATCGATCACCTCACTAACTCACTAAGTCATTATCTAGTCCATTAACATATTACTTTATTTATTTGCCTTTAATAAAAAAAGGTTTGCAGAAAGCACAACAACGGAGGATGGCTACTCGTGGAGGTGTAGAAACTCCAGGTGCCGCGTCACAAAAAACAAGTAGACATGGAAGTTTCTAAGTTACAAACAAAGGATGCCTTTCTGGTGGAAGTAGATAAACGAGATGCTGCCACGTTGCAGTCATTGATACAGCGACATGTTAGTTCCATAAAGTTTAAAGTTTTAAAATTCATTTTGATTGATTATGAAATATAGTTCGATTTTAATAATTTTAGGTACAACAGTTTTGACAGATCAATGGGCTGCTGCAGTATTAACAACCGTAACCGGTCTAAACTACCAAACCGTAAATCACTCCATTACATTTCAGGCCGTAAACGAAGTGCACACAAATGGAGTGGAGAATTTGTGGCGATGCACCAAGCAAAAATTTAAAAGAATGAATGGTACGTGCGATACGATATCTTGATGAATTTATGTGGCTGCAGATAGAAAAGAGCGGTTCCAAAAAGCCCTGGAACCATGGATATATAATGGATATGGCAAATCTCATATGTATATATATATATATTCGGTTAAAATAAATTTTTGCTGAAAATCTTGATCCATAGAACCAAAAACGTCAATGAAAAATTAATTTTAAAAAACATTTAGCTTTTTATCTATGTTTAGAATATCATCTAGTTTTCGATTATCGTCATAGCTTCCGTAGTTGAGTTTTAATAAGAATTTCGCTTAAAAAAAACTAGCAACATAAGTTGTAATGTTTGATTGCTAACGTTGCTGGTGTGTTTCAGTTGCGTTGGGCTTTTTTGATACTAATTTCCAAAATTGCAAGTTGCACTGTTATCCCTCACTCTGCTCTGCAATGGATATTTTGATAGTGATAATCAATCACAATCATTCATTCATATTAATTTGTCTTTACGTTTTATTTTATTATTGTTATAAACGTGATATGTAAATTCATGAGAATGTATAATTGTATACCAAATGTATGACTGCTCATGGTTACTGTAATAACAATAGCTGACAATCATACATTTGAGTACCTTTTTTTGAATATATAATCGTCTGAAGCTGAACCAAATTTCATAAATTTTCATGTTGTCTCTTGAATTTGCATTGTATATATAAAAAATGGGAAAATGTCTGCTTTCAATTTTAATAATTTCTAGTTATTGATAAAAGCCAGAGTAAATTCATGACTCAATCACATCGGCCACCAAAATGACGATCTCAGAACTTAAAATAATCGTCGAGGACAGGAACGCATGGAGAAGACAGATCAATAAAGTGGCCGAAAGTCGACTTCGACTAAATGGCTAATCATCAAATTCATGACTAATCTGCCTATATATTGTATGCCATGGATATGAAATGGACTGTTTTTAGCAAACTGTGTTAATTCTGCATTTAATCAGTGATAAAATAAGTAATATTTAAATAAATTTTTTTTAAATGTATTTTCAATACTTTACTTTTAGCAATTAAAATAAGGATAGTTTTATACTTAAGTGCAAATCATTCATGTAAGTCAATAGTAATCTTACTCTTCTTCTTGTTCTTGACTTTTCTTCAGCTTGTGATACTCTTGACCATACTATTCTCTTGAGACTGCTGCATCTTTCTTTTAATATTACTGATTCTTGTCTATCTTGGTTTTCTTCTTATTTCTGTAATCGTTTTTCTTCTGTTGTTCTCAATAATTCTACTTCTAACTCTTCTACTCTTAATTTCGGGGTACCTCAGGGTTCTATCCTTGGCCCTCTTCTATTTATACTCTATACTTCTGAACTACCTCGTATTATTAATAACTTTTCTTTCTCTAGTCAACTATATGCTGATGATTCTTATATTTATACTTCTTTTCCTCCATCTAATCTCAATAGTGTTCTTCATAATTTATCTCTATGTCTTTCTTCGATTATCGCTTAGTCTGACTCTATGTGTCTTAAACTTAATTCTTCTAAGTTTGAATTAATTTGTTATAATAAATCTAAACACTCAATTACTATTCCTCCTATTATCTTACCTGATTCTAAAACTCTTGATGTCTCTCATAAGTTTCGTAGTC